ACAATAAACCAGCCTCATAGGTGTTCAAAGCAATAAACTCACAAAACAATAAACCAGTTTCATAGGTGCACAATGACATTCAAATGCAACGTAGAAAGCAAACTCTTTCCCAGTCGATGCATCCCTGCTAGGGACTTGCACCAAGTGCAAAATCAGAACAGTTTTTGACCTAGAATAGGTTAATGGGGAAAGGGCTTGATTTCTCTTATGTATTTGAATTATTGGAGGAAAACACATTTGGTGTGATGAACAATCAAAAACTTGAAGAGGAAGAGGAGCAGCAGAAGCAGCAGCATTAACAGGGGTTGAAAGGAAAGGCTGTGGAAGGGCAGGGCAGGGCAGGGCAGGGCAGGGCAGGGCAGGGCAACGTTGGTGGCAGGAAGACTTTGAGAGTTCTGGCAGAAAGGGGAGCAGAAAGGGTTGAGCAGAGTCAACGCACTTGGGAACTCGGCCGGCGTCACCTCATCATAAAATGTGACTTTCCAAACAAAGGCCTAAATTATTATTATTTAAACGGCAAACCGCACCTGAGGGTGAAACAGTCCAACGCCTTTGTAAAAGCTTCAGGTGTGACTCATGCTCGGAAATGCAAACCTCCAGGGGCCATTTGCCTGAAATTGCAATCCTGGAAAGATCAATGACTCAACTAGTCCTGCTTCTCATGAAGTGCAGTGCAAGCCTAAACTTCATGAAGTTAAAAATGTTAAAATGCCCCCAGATGGTTTCCCTTGTCACTTGAGAAGAGAAATAAATGATGGCCTCATGCCATTTCCTTTTTATGGCTGTATGAATTATTAGCCTCATGCTGGCCTGTGTGCAAGAGAGGAGTGCACACTCTGAAAATTAAAATAAAATAATAAAATCTGCTTCTGGTGTGTCACTTTGCAAAGCCATGGAAACCGGGCCAGTGCAGCGTTACGAGCCCAACATTTAATTATTCTGCACAATGATAAGAAGTCAGGAGGCCCGAATAGAGAACTTTTGATGTCTCCCCAAAACAGTGGCACATCATCCACCTATGTGCAGAATAAAAGCAGGGAGAGAGCTGACAAAGAGGTCCGAGTGAAATCTGTCTCTTCTGCCAGTGCAGAACCGAGAGTTTTCCATGCGCAAGCTGATCAAACTGCTCCAGACCTTTGTGCTGCTCGTATTTGAGAATAGGTTGAGCAACTGGAGCAGAAGCAACCACCACATTTTCAGCAACCCTCCAACCTTTGGTAACTGAGGTGTATCACCATGCAAGAAATGGTGCATGAAATGTAAGGAGTGCTGCCCAGTGAAAACTTCTGTGAGGGTCAGTGGCACACAAGGTCCGCTTCTAAATAGCTCAAGCATATCTCTAAATATCTCCCCTTCCACCTCAAGCCAGGCTTTGTACATTTGGCACAATGAACATACAGGAATATCTAGATTGGGGTATCCAAACTTTTGGCTTCTCTGGGCCACATTGGAAGGAGAAGATTTTTCTTGGGCCACACATTAAATATACAAACACTAATGAAAACTGATGAGCAAACAAAAAAGGCCTGTGCATGATTTTTGTGGTATCCTCCACTACAAATAAGCAAGAAAGTCCTCACATAATAATCCTAAGAGAGTGTGCATACATTTATTTTATGACATTGTGACACGCCATTGTCATCTACAAAGTTCATGCTCAAGAGCCACACAATCAAGTTCCAAAAAAAAAAAAAAAAAAAAAAAGCAAAAAATCTCATAATGTTTTAAGGAAGTTTACAATTTTGTGTTGGGCCACATTCATAGCCAGCCTGGGCCACATTGTGCACTTTGTGCTCTATACAAAATGAAATTCAAAATGGTGCACGGCAAATGACGCAATGCATCCACTCCACTTCAGAAACAAGACCTAAGTAACTTATGGAGCAGTCCTTGTAAGACCGTATGGATTCTTCAAAGACAGCTCTGAGCCTTGTTTCTAGGGATCTGCACTCACATCTGTTTCCCTGCCATGCTTCTCTAAGGTCATGGGAGAAAGCTCAGAGAAAGGTGTTTGGGGATGTTTGGAGGGGCTGCCAAGAAAGGATTTATTCTGCCAGTTCTCCAGCCTCCTTTGCTCCCACTCAGAAGCACCACACATAAAAACTGAGATCAACTACCAAAATGTTTTGCACCATGAGAAGAAAACGGAGGTGACTGTTGGTTCTGCACTTCTCCTACCAGTCGTGGTGTGCCTCCAAGTTGGGAGGGTTCTGGGCATCTCCACAGGACTGTGCTCTTAGGGACACAAACATTTGCAAGAACATGTGAAGCGCCCCGAAGTGTCATTATTGCATTCCTGACAGCCAGAGTCAGTGCGTCTCCTGGTTTAAACGTTTACATACTAAACTGCAAAATGTTAAACTACAGAAAAGGGTCAGATGCCTCAGCCTGTACAGTAGCTGATATGAACGGGCCACACATACCTGAAAGCCATGCTTAAAGAAGTGTTTATATCTAGGCTCAAGTGTCAATGGAATGTTGCAGCTTCTTCAGGTGATTGACCCACTTTTGACTGAAAATACACCAGACTGTGCTGAAATAAAACTCTGCTTTTTGATGTAGAGTGAGTGATGCATCTTACAGGTACAAAAAGGAAGCCCACACTCTACAGTGAAGCAACAATTCTAGCAGAACTGGCCCAAGATATGTTGCTGTTTGGGATGAGGAAACATAGAAACAAAGTGAGTCAGAAAGGGCCTCCCGGGCCATCTTGTCTGACCCCTGGCTCCAGCCAGCTCCACTCACGACATGCCCGCCATGTGCACGGCCCACAGGAAACCCATAAGAAGCTCATGAGGGCAACTGCATCCTCCTGCCCATGTATGCTGGGTCATCAACATCTTGGATAAGATGGGCAACCCCAATGGGCAGAGAAAGTGTTCTTCACAATGTTCATTTCCACATGCTCAGCATGACAAAAGCAAAAACAAAGGGGTAATTAAAGAACAAACTGATTAGAATGCTGGATGGATGGATGGATGGATGGATGGATGGATGGATGGATGGATGGATGGAGGGATGCAATGCTTGGTGTGAGCACAGCTCAATTGATATGTCTGAAGTCACAAACATCTGTGTTCATCTGAGAGTTTCCCCCTGCTTTTACATCCTTCCTTAACTGTCTTTCTGTCCTGGCAGCTCCAGTTCAGCAGCAGTCATGCGGAAACCACATCACCCATGAAATGGGGAACGGAAAGGAACAATAAACAATGCCCAAGCAAGCTAAGTTCTGTTGATAAACAAGCTCATTATCTCAATTATCTCTTTAATCGACTCAGTCTCAGCAAGCTGAAAAGCAAAACAGATCACAGCTGGAGCAATCTCAGCCATACATTTCAAACAAGATGATGATGATGATGATGACGATGATGCAATAGGAATAGGGAAAATCAAAATCTTCCCTATTGCCTTCCCTATTCCTGCCATAATCAGATGGTGCAATTGGAGCTTCCCCCTCCCCTTTGTTTCCTGTGCTTCTGTCACTCATTGAGCAGCACAGCAGATAAAACAAAGATGCTCTAAAGATACACTAATACCATTTGTCCAACAAGGAGCTCTCTTCCCCACTGTCTGTACAATTTTTACCACTAGGTTGTTGACATTTGACCAACTCACATGGTAGATTTGCCTGCCTGTTGCAAGTTCACTCTCTAAACTTTGTGCCGTTGTTAGGAATGTATGAAAATACCTTCTGTTCCTTATTTTATTTTTGCCTCCCTGAGAAGTCCACATGATCTCAAAGCAGAAACTGGAATGTAATAATTAGAAGACCAGGATTTTTTTTAACATAATGTGCAGTCTTCAAAAACACTAAAGGGCAATAATCAAGCTAAACTGCATGCTGAGGAGGGGGCTATCAATCCCTAATTTAACTCCTCAGGTTGTACATATTCTGCTTTCTATTCTCATAATTGTGCACATGCGTATTACAATGTGAACACTTTTGAATTAAGAATTCAGAACATGGGGAAACAGACGAAGTGGAAATGTTTTGCTTTTAGGAATGTATAGCTTAAAAACTATTTTATTTGCAAACACGTATGATCCAGTTTTCTGTGCATTTCAAAAATCAGCATTTCAAATTTGAATTTTGGCCATTCAACTGAATGCATTTTTTAAAATGTTTCATGTAGCTGTGACTCACACTTTCAAGCTTATTCAAAAGAGGTGCCACTTAGAGAACCAGCAAGAATTCTAAAATGGTTTCATAGTCAATTTCCTTGAATGAAGGTATACATTACTCCAACTTCCTATGAATCAATTTTGTCGAACTTCTATTCATCCAAAAAAAGAAATTAGCAAACGTGCATGCTTATTAAAATCATATAAATCTCAATCCATGTAAAAATGCAGAAGAATAAAATAGTTACAGCGGCAGGGACCTCAGCCCTTAGAAAGCAAGTGGTAGAATATTGACCAAATAAAGCATCTTCAATGAGTAATGACCAGCACCAGTTTCAACCTTGAAGTCTTTCTAAAAACCAGCAGGATGGTAACCCAACACAACTTCTTAGGTCACCCAGGTTGAAGAGACCCTACCTCTCTGGTCACCTACTATAATATTCCTCCAGTGAGGGAAAGCCGAGTAAGATCTAACACACTGATCTATAGAGATGTTTGTAATATCTTTTATGGTATGGTGCATACAAGAAGAATTGTTTTCCCATGTTAGAGACATGCTTTGGCTTTCAGGCCAGGGAGATGGAAGAAGGGGAACCAAAGGCATCAGGTGGAGTGACAAAGGGTACAAAATCTCTTTGTCTCTGATAGAAGCAAGAAGCTTCCTGTTGGGAAGCAGATTCCATCGACCTGCAGTTCAACAAATGAAGAACACAAGAAGTGTGCAGGCTTCATGGTGTGGTTCTGTGCGAGAGTAGGAGGGGCACATAAGAAAAGCTCTCTGCCACCTTATTGATCCAAACGTGTTCATTAGAGGCTTCCAACTCAAGTTCTGAGAATTCTGAATCGAACACTGTCAGAAGCAAGTAGCCATCCCCTACCTCTGAAGCAGTGGGCTTGCAGTAGCCAGCTCCAAACACCAGTGTCTCCAGTGACATCCCCGTCAGATCTGGTCCCATTTCCAAGCTGCTTTTTCCAAGCCAAGATCCCTTCCCTGGACGAGTAAAGCTAAATGAAGACACAAGTAGGAAACGACATGTAGGTAAATGCAATTTAGGCTTAGGGTTATATTTACTATTATCTGCTATTATCTGCACACCTCCCATTCCACACCCTCGGTGTCCCAACCATCAGGAAGTACTTCCTGGCATCCAACTTGAATCTTGGTTCCTTGAGCTTTGCTTCACTGGAACGCATCCTGCCCCCCACTGCAGGGGGGGCGGTCATGAGCCACCTCTGTGTGGCACCCCCTCATGTACCTGTATGTCACTAACAGGTCCCCTCTGAGTCTCCTCCTCTCAAGACTGAAAAGACCCAGCTCCCTCAGTCTCTCCTTGTATGGCTTTCCCTGCAAACCACCCACCATCCTAGTGGCCCTTCACTGCACCAATTCCAACCTTGCTAGATCCCTCTTGTAATGAGGGGCCCAGAACTGACACAATACTCCTGATTTTCCAAGTGTCACTTGTTGCCTGCATATAGAATCGATCTCCTTAGTGAGCTTCCGGAATCCTGTTGTAAAGATCATCAGATCCAAGTAGAGCATACATGGATTGAAGGCTCTCTGTGCTTCATCTTTATTTACCTGATCAGGGGCTGATGCAAAGCCACCAGAGAGGCGTGCAGGGTGACGGAGATGGCCGACAGATGGAAATAGTCAAACATGACGGGCACATGGTGGTGCAGGCCTTGCCTCGGGTGGAAGTGAAGCCCCAAGGTGCGGCTGCTTATCACTGGGATAGCTGTGACGTCCCTCAGCCTGGAAGGAAAGGTCCACAGGATTGAAAAAGGCCCTTCCAGCAGCTCAGCAAGCCCCCATAGCAGAGCTCCATGGTGTGACCAGAATTTTTTACCATCCAGCTGCGATTCCCTCAGCAACAAGGGAAGTTTACAAGACTGAGTTTTAGCTCTTAATTGTACTTGTAGCGGCACGTCAATATTATGACACTGCTGTGAGAAAGCCAAAGTGACTCGCATTCCACCATACGCAGATTTGTTTCTTTTCTTTCTCTCCTCTCTCCCTCCACCACTCAAACCTGCTATTGAGCGTTTTTTGTCATTTTGTGATAAGCTGCCAGTGTGAGTCGGACTACCTGCCCAGCCTGTGCTAGGAAAAGCGGAGCGGGGCCTTGAATGGTTAAACAAATGAACAGGATTTTCTGTGTTCATGCTGGTAAAGGGAGGACGGACAATGAGAACAAGTGGATTTACCCAGCCCAGCCCAGAATATTTCAGAATCCACTAAGAGAAATTGCAATCACTGCTAGAGGGGCCGGAGATGCTCCTGCAAATGGGGGTGGGGGCGTGGCTTTTCATGACTCCTACTGTTTGAAGCCTAGGCCAGATGAGCATTAAGAGCTCATAAATGTTGGCTGCCCCAGATATTCGCTGATGGAGGAGCGTCCCGCTGCTTCTCTAGTGTACTCCAACCATCATGTGCTCTTGCTTTCCCACCTATCACTCACCTACCCACTGATCCTGCTCCAGAAGCAAGCAGGAGGGAAGAAAGAAGTGCCCAAGGATGATAAGTATGAAGGCCCTGAAAATAATCTACAAATATAGGAGGGAATTTTCTCCTCTGCCTACCTGCTCCCAAGACCATTTTTGTACAGATAATTTGGGAAAACGAGAAAAGATGAGATTAATGGACCCTCTTTTACAATACACTTAAGACAAGGTGCTCATATGGAACTATCCAGTCATTATGTCTGCAAAATGATTTCTAAACGTTATCTCATGTGCGGAGATGAGAAATTTGATATTAGGAAGATGTGAGGAACTGGTTTCTGTCTAATCGAAATGTATGGCACTTGCCCTTCCCAGGACTTCACAGAGCCCACCTGGCAATCTGTGATCCACTCAGTATGTTTTCCAGGTTGTATGTTATCTTTTAAGCCTTTTTTAATTTTAATTTTTTAATTCTGCATGCCTGCTCAGAAGGAAGCAAGAGCTGCCTCTCTATGTCCACAGAGAAGTAAAGCAAGACCAGATGACTCAGTAGTACTTGAAAGCAGCATCCAAATATCAAATCCTTTCTGATTTGCTCAGAGGTCATTCCAAGTAGCACATCTACCCAGAAGCAAGCAGCAGCTTTCTCAGCAGCTTTCTCCCCAATAGCACAACCTGCTAACCTTGCGTCTGTGCTGAGTCGCAGCAGTTGGAATTATGGTACAGTTCTTTTCAGTTAATTTTCATATGGGGAAGAAGCTAGAAGGCCAAGTGTGGATCCGCCATAGGTGATATTTGGCCCACAGGGTGGAAGATCTCCTTCTGTGCTTTAAGGCTGGCCTTATCCCAAGTTCTCCCCTTGTTCCAAATCCTGAATGTCGAGTTCACATGAAGCTGACTTATACTTACCCGTCTAGCCCTGTACTCTGATGGAGGATAACTGTCCAAGGATTTCAACATAGCTTTTCCTAGAATGTCTTCCCCAGATACTTGTTGCTTAAGATGGAAATGTGGGGAGTTGGACTAAGCACCATCTGCACACTGTAGTTCTCTCAAAGACCCATTCAACACACAGAGAAATCTTTCCAACTAAGAATCTAGTGTCAGGGCTGTCTGAATGCATGGGCCTGATGGGCACTTGCCCGTGGGCCGCATACTAATCTGTGTATGTTAACCCTTGGAAAATGGGAAAACTTCCAAAATTAACCATAGTTGTAGTTGTCGTAGGGGCCCCAGGACACTGCTTTGCCCGGGGCCCATAATGCTGTTAAGACGGCCCTGACTAGTTTCTGATTTGCTTTTGTCCTCCTTGCATTTCCTTTTGAGTAATGTCATTTAGACTGCAGGGCTGCTAGCAGAGACGGTCTTATTTCTTATCTGTTTGAGCTGCTCTTAGCCTTTTGAACTAAAGGACAGGACAGAAATGAATCGCTCTATAATTTTAAGTAAACTCCTCCATGTAACATTCAGAGGAGTATGAAATCAGACAGCTACGTTCTGATCTACGCTTCAGTCTGGGAACAGCAGATCAGGGCAGTTCGTATCAGAATGGATGAGACCTTGTCCTTCTACTATCCCCAGGGGCTGCCTTGACAAAATGAAAGGTGCTCACATTTGTCCACTGTCTGTAAAGTGCAGGTCCAGCTTGAGTTGAAAATCTGCTTCACTGAGTGCCTCTTCTGCCTGCAAAGGTTTGGTAAAAGAAAGAACAATGCTGCCATTGCAAGCCAACAACCACAACCAATAAGGAAGACAGACAGACAGACAGACAACTGTTTGGTGAGATGCAAGTTTTGGGGAACTATATTAATATGCATAGATAAATCAGCCCCCATTTATCCCAGTGAGATAATATTCCCATCCTCTCATCATTAAATGAAAAACATTCCTATTAACTTCCAGTTAAATTGAACAGGGAGCTGGACTTGAAGAGCAGGGCAAATTGAATAGGGAGTTGGACCCAATGGCTTACTGGCCCCTTCCAACTCTACAATTCTATGAATCTGTGGTAACATTAGAAACTGACCAAGAAAAGTCCTCACCCTCTCACCATCCAGGAGAAGGTGAACTCTGAAGTTCATGGATTCATTCATGACAATCTCTTCGTTCCTGTACAAGATCTGAAAAACTCTGCTGTAGACACTGTTCTCATGGACGCAGGCTGAGCAAAGGATTGAGTCCCCTGCAAGAGAGAATTGAACAGAGCAGACCAGTTTGCTGGCTGGGTTTTTTTAATAGTGCGGCTCTGATGCCTAGCTTTCAGGGTTCTTGTTACTTATGCACTGGCAGTCGCCTTCTCAGACTCTTGAGAAGAAAAGCACCCAGAATGTGTTATTGTCTGTAGCACTATTGGATATGCATTAGTTACACTCCACTTTATTGCCAAAGGGAGAGATATAGATATATAGATGTGGACACAGATATGTGGCAAGTCAATCGATAAAACATAAAAAGCCACAAAAGCTGTGAATAAAAGTAGCAGATAAAAAATTGTTGTAAAAAGACATCCCTGGTCACACACATGTACTGTGTGAGTTTAGCTGTTTCTTCTTGAAGGATGGGGTATGATGGTGGAATATTTAACGGGTAGGGGGTCCTTTTCTGTCCATCTCCTTTGGCTTCTGTTTGAACTGAATCTCTGGAACATGGACAACATTGTCCTTCTAGAACATTCCCATCATGCACTGAAACCCTTCCTTCTCCCATCCCACCTTGTCAGTCCAGCACAGCAGTGGATGTACAGGCAACCAAGAAAGGAAACTCATTTGCTTTACTCTACTGCTATGGCGAGGATAAAATGCACGAGGCATATGAGGTCCTTCAAGGGAATAACATGGTCTGATAAATTTGCATTTAAAACTCATCATTCTAGAGACATCAGGCAAATTGCGTTCAGGTCAAATTCATTCATCATTCACTCTAGAAGGACCAAAAAGAGAAGCCATTTGGTTGCGTTGTTCCATTTAAAACCCCTCTCTCTCTCTCTCTCTCTCTCTCTCTCTCTCTCTCTCTCTCTCTCTCTGTGTGTGTGTGTGTGTGTGTGTGCATGCACATGCACTTGTATATGTGTGTGCATTATTCCATACATTAGCTTATTTCAGATATGCAGAATTTAAGAACATTTCCTTTTCAAAATGTTCTGGCTACAATTGCTGATAGTACATAGCTGACAGCATGTTAATCATACTACTTTCTCCCACTTCTGTGCAACTTGGACTGGAAAGGATGTTGCGAGTGGGCAGGAAGAACTGGATATTTGTGGACCTGAATTCATGCACATGTCCACAAAAATGAATATACAAGAATGTGTACATTCAATACATGCATTTTCATACTTTCATCTCTGGGATTGGGGGAGAATGCCCTTTCTCTTTTTTATGGAATGTTATGACTAGGGTCCTCAAATATTGATACATTCAAGCCATGGGGGCAAATTTGGTCTGTTGGGTAATCCATGGATCAGATTCCTAGAAATGCAACTTCTTTTGAATTCATTAGGAAGGACTCTGCCATCCCTGTGTGTGTGTGAATAGATTGGGTGAGCACACACAGTACATGAGCATCTGACAGATCACCCACACCATGGAAGAATCATAATATTCAGGGTTACCTGCCTCTCATCTCTCCTTAGAGGTTTAGCTTTGGCAGCTGTGATGTGTCTGGGAGCCTTTGTTTCATTTTCACATGATGCACCAGAAGTTGCATCAGCCAATTTCAATATATATAATATTTTTATCAGAGTTGCTGGTAATTAAAATAAGTTGTTCTTGACCTGAGATTGCTGGGTGAAAGCACTAGCATAATGTGAAATGGTTCCACTGCGTGGTCGTTCAAATGAACCTTCCAAAGACATGTGCTACAAGATCAAAACAAAGCTTGTTGCGAGTTAATTAATTGCTGAATTGATTCATAAGCCTGGACTTCCATGAGCTCAGAGATCTAACATCTTGTTGAAGTCTTGCAAGACAGTACTCTAAGCAGGAAAGCTGCTTGATATATTAAATCTAGGGCAGTCACATTTAGGGGGGAAATACTAGGAGAGTCCTCCTGTGAATCCAGATTAATCTGGGCAGCATTTTTAAACTTTTAAGTGAATACAACAAGTTGCAACTCCTCTCCCAGGATAAGTCAAGAGACAGTTTCTATTATAGAAGAGGCATTCCCATTTATCTCCCATTCAGGACAGACTTCCTCTTCTGAGATAGCACAGAAGTACATTTTCAGCCTTTAGTTCATGTGCCCAGAAATCAGACAGGTGGTTTGTGTTCTCTCTTCTTCCCTTTTTCTACTCCCACTTTTGCTAACCCCGTGAAGAGCAGAAACATTTACTTTTCTCAAAAGGATAAGTAAATTGGAAAGGTTAATCTGCATTAAGAAACTGGCAAGCCATACATCAACAGAGAGTGGAAAGATGCAAGGGAAGAAAAACACATGTCTCTCCACATTTCTTCCGCTTGCCATTCCTTTTTATAGCAACTATGATCTTTTTAAAACACAGGGAGCTTCCTGAATCTTTTCCCACCAGTGACTAAAAAACACTAAAGCTATGTCAGAATGAAAACAGAGGAAGATATGAGACTCCAAAGAGCATTCCTTTAATTAAAGAAGGGAGGGAGGGTGTGGTGAGAGGGAGAGAGCGAGAGAGAGCAAGCCTGCCTCAGACTCAGGAACAAAGCAGGGCTCAAATTAATTGATGTGCCCAGAATCGCAAGGATGGAAATTCTGTCTCCTGTTTAGAAATGAGTTTCTCTTCCTCTTTCTAACAGCGCCATTTAAATATTATTTGAAGAAAGGCTCTTTTGAATGCATTTTACTCAAATACGATAAGGCACAGAAATATTTCAGGATCAGAAACATCCCAGTTACAAAAAAATAAAATAAAATAGCAAAGAGCCGCATGGCCCCTTAAAGACTAAAACATTTAATTATGGCATAAGCTTTCAGGAAAGTGGACCAAAGTTTCCTCTATAATAATGTGTTAGACTTTAAGACTTTTCACCCAGAAGATCTTTCATTGTTTTTGTTGCTAGAGACTAATGGTTACCCCCTGGGGATTATTTTAGATGCAAGTTGCTTAGATGCACAGGGACCCACAAGCCTGCCAAAGATTGGATATACTTTTGCAGACATTTTATGTTAAATCTTACAAAAGCTCAAGCCTCTTGAGGAGGTTCAAAGCAAACGGCTTCCATGTTGTCATGCCCATTTCTTTTCTTTTCTTTTTCTTTTTGAACCAGTACATGAACTGAAATTTAGTAATCCATTGAAATTTGCACTTCTTTGAGAATGCCATTCTCTCTCTCGCTTTTAGGGAAAATGAGTAGGAAAAAGATATATTTGGGCAAAATGCACACAAAAGCTCATATATTAATGGAAACAATGTTAAAACGCATTATAGTAGGACAACTATTTGGTGAAGATAGCATATTTGGCGAATTCTGGGAAAATTCATGCAATAAGAGAAAGGAACAAAATGCATTTGACTTCATATGAAATTTTTAAAACAATAAATGCTAGTTATGTTTGGGGACAAAACTTCTTAACATTTGGGGAGAAACTGAATTTAGCATTTGGAATAATATTAACAGAAACCAAAACTGAAAGACTCTTCCATCTGTGCTTGAGGGTGTGCAGTGGTCAAGAGGCTCAGAAGTGCCCAGCAGGTGTGCAGGAGGCAGCAGTGGGTGGGTGAAAATACCGGTAGCTGTGAGATTGGAGGAGGCATCAGGAGAAAGGAAACTAGAAGCAGGTGAATGAGTTGAGCATAACAAAGTGAGCCGAGGCGAAGCAGTGAGTGAGAGCATGACCATGGTGGAAAGGAAATGCTAGGTGGGTGGGAAGCAGGAGAGAACTGGGGCGGGGGGAGATCTGCTGAAAGAAGGTGAAATTAGAAATAAATTCCAGCTGTGGAGGAGGAGAGACTCATAGAATAGTAGAGCTGGAAAGGGACATGAAGACCATTGTTTCCAGCCCCATGCTGTTGCAGAACACCAATTCACACCATCCCACTCAATGGCTGCCCAGTTTCACCTTGATGTCTCTCGTGTGGGAGAGCCCCCCACCTCCCCAGGCAGCTGGTCCCACTGTCGTATTGCTCTGACAGTGAGGAAGCTTTTCCTGATGCCCAGCCTGAATCTGGGTTGTCACAGCTTGAATTGATTATTCTTGTCCTACACTCCGGCATCAGCAAGAAGAGATCTTGACCTTCCTCTTTGGGACAGCCTTTGAGGTACTTCTAGGGTGATGGAAGCAGAATCCATGGCATAGGGAGCAAACCAGAGAGAAGGAGCAGAGACAACACATGAAATGGAGGAGGAAGAATCCATAACAGGGTGGAAAGGAGTTGATGTACAGGAAGGGAAAGGAGCCATGATCTTTGGGTGGGGATGGTGGGTGGGGTAAATCTGCCCACAGTATCAAAAAGGCAATCTGCTGCTTGTGCAATATTTCAGCATGATAACCTTTCTGAGGCTGTTTTGGAGTTGTCTCCATTCAAGATGTACTATTCATTCTCTCACCCAATTTTCCATCCCTCCCCAGTGGTCAGCCAGCATGTTCTGAACTCATTGGGCTGCTCCATGGCTCAGAAAAATGGAACAGTGCCATTTCGACCACATAAGTTCAGGCATTCTGAGCACTGTGTTTAGATATAATTAGCATAATTAATTAGATTAGCATAATTAGTAAGCACAGCTGGCTTCCTTTTTCTAAAGAAGGAGGTGCGTTGGGCCAGTCCTACAGCCTTGGGCTGACTCAGATTAATAACATATCCAGTCAGTGTGTAAACACCTTGAAAACAATGCAGTGATTGCTAGAAGCCAACATAGATTTCTCAAGAACCAATCCTGCCAGACTAACTTAGTGTGTTTTGAGCAGGTTTAGTTCTCTGACAGGCAGTGGGAATGTTGCCAACGTAATATCCCTTGATTTCAGCAAACTAGCTAAAGTGTTCTATGAGATCCTGATTAGCAAACTAGCTAAAAGTGGGCTAGATGGAGCCACAGTCAGGTGGATCCACAGGGGGCTACAGAATTGGACTCAAAGAGTGTTGATCAATGCCACCTTCTCCAACTGGGGAGACAAATGGGCACCGCAGGGTTCAGTCCTGGGACCAGGGCTCTTCAACATTTTTCTTCATGATTTGGATGAGGAGGTATAGGAAATGCTGATCAAACTTTCAGA